AGGATGGCCATAGGGTTCTGACTCATTACAAGTGACGTCCCGCCAGGATTCTCAGAAGTTGTGAATGTTTTTGCCTCATATGGGGAAGCAGAATGTCCAGCTGTATTCAGCCTCACAATGAAATTTAATGTTAATTTGTGCCATAGATTACCTTTCCAATATTATAGTAAGCATGTAATTTGTGACTGTACACATTCAGCATTTATATTCAGAGGTAAACAAGTATGCACTGAGACCATGGGGAGGAAATGAGGAATGCGCAGGTTTAAGAGTTGGGCTTAATTGGGTGTAGTTGGTATGGTGGAGAGATTTATTGAGGAATACTTCAATTTCCTAGCTGTTGGATGGAGAGTGGTATCATAGTAGATGCAGAGAAGGAGGTGCCTGAATTCTCAGAAATATGAACAAGAGGACATCCAGGTACAGGCAGTGGAAATAAAGATAAACAAGTTATTGGTAAGTAGCTTGAAGCAGTGGGAGTGGATTAAATCACCCAGAGGAAAAAACTGATAAAGCAGACACAGTGCTGTGATAGGTAATCTCTCATTAGAAAACGTTACTTTATTCTCATAGGATCACTGAAACTGTATCTTTGCATGTCATTTGAGATTTTTATGATAAATGTCGTCTAAAAATATAAGTACAGTTACAGAAACTTAAACTGGGTTGCTAAATTTTTCAACTTGGTTTCAAACACTGGGCGCAAGTGATGAGCCTAACAGACATTTTAGACCGAGATATGAAAAATTAAGGCTTTAAAGATAACATTCAAGCTGGCGTTGGACACGCCATTGGGCCTGTCACCACCAGTACTTCTAGCGTGCCGGGCTCCTGAAACAGGAGGATGGCGTGCAGTCAGCCGGAGTCTTGATTTCACAACAATTTTAGTTACAGGTTGGGACAAGATTTTTGAGGTTAAGGTTTAAAAAATAATTTTTTTCTTTGCTTGATCAACATCTTGCAGTCTATTTCTGCAGACTTCTGAACGCCGGATGTCCAAATCCACTCTTACTGGGACATTTATTTATATTTCAAATATAGCCTTGTATTTAAATAGATGCTTGGCAGTATATTTTGGCATAGATTTAAAGACCAAACAAAAGTAAAAGTACTAGCATAAGCCAAGTCAGGTGTAATTGATGTAAGATTTCTATTTTTAGTTATTCTGTACATCTTCAATATGTATGGGTAAGTATGAGACATTTTCACAAAAATAGTTCTGAATATTTTTCACAAAGTCAGTGAAAAATTATGTCAGAACTACTACTTTAGCTTTAACAACATTCAGTTTGAGATGCCAAGTCCATTGGGTACTTCTCAATCCTTAACTTATTTAATTCCTCTAGTTAAATTATAGAATTGAACTTTATCCTATAATCTCCAAAATAGTCTACCCTGTTTCTTTTTCCTTCTGTCTCATCATTCCCCCTCTGTCATCTCTGCCTGCACTGCCTCCTCAACCTTACACCTCAGTGTTGGTATTACTCAGGTGTGTGCTCCAATCTCTTCTCTCTGTTTGATTCATCTTGCATTGGGAAATGTAGTTGTTATCTTCAGCTGCAAACTCTGGTCATTTGCAACCTGTCCTTCCTCAGTGTTTTCCTCTCCCTTACTTCCTATTCCTAAGTTGGTTGGCAAGTGAGTTTAATTCAGTGAACATCTGAGTCTGGGTATGTACCCTGCTTTGTGATGGGCACAAAGTACTGGGTTTACATGCCCCAGGCTAGTCTAGACTTACTATCCTTACTGTTACTACCTTCCATCAGGTTCCTATCATTTCTCTGCTGCACATTCTGATCAGCAGACATTAATTGAGAGTTCACTCTGTGCCAAGTACTATGCCGAGCAATAGGGATACAGAGATGATTTAAGTTTTCATAATAAGAGCAACAAATAAGTGTATGCAATATGGATTACATAACGCTTGACTTGGGAAATGTGAATTCACGGTAAATATTCCATTGTGTGCATAATACTACGTTAGGGCTGTGGACAAGTCTGCACTGTGTACAGAAGCAGTCTCTTCCTTGGCCTGGCCGGTTTGGCTCAGTGGTTAGAGCGTCAGCCTGCGGTCCAGAGAGACAGAAGCAGTCTCCTCTGGTGCAGGGGGAATACTGCAGGGAGCCTGCACAGGTCAGGGGGCAGTACTACTTGGAGGAAGACCTTTCAGCCTCTTTCTTTACTGTTGTTATTTCTCCCTGTGTCCTATCAGCTTGTCTTGCTTCAGTGTTTGTTTTCCTCTTCCCAATGTTTTATAATCTTAACGGAAAAGCTACAAAGAGTGCAGGGCTGGATTTGATTTTTAATTTACGGGAGATGTTATCTGCACAGAATAGACCCTAATGGAATGGTTGTGTAAAACATTTGCATAGTGGTGTGGGTGGAATCTATTGTGAGTGGGTCTGGGAAGACTTGACAAAATCAACACTAGTGATCTAACTGGGCAGGGCTTTGAAGCTGGGGAGACAGCAGGGAGTAGCAGGTCTGAAGCACCCAAGCACACGTTGGTGACTGTGGGTCATTTCTTAGCTCTGGAGTGTAATGGGCAAGGAAGGCTCTGGCTGGAAACAGTGCGGCCAGGGGAACAGTTAGGGGCCACAGAAAGAGCAAGAAGCAGTTTGTTTGCTAGAACCAGGAACGTGGACTGTGTGGAGCTACTGAAAGGTTTGAATCAGGAGTGACCTGGATTTACATTTGAGAAGGAAGTGTTAGCCTCAGTGAGACCTGCCCTGTGTTCCGTCCTCCCCATCACCAGACTCAGCCTAGGAAAAACACGAGACTGGTCCTGAGAATCCCAGCTGAAGCTTAAGGTGACTCCAGGCACCAAGGTCCAACTTCGTACCATTTCTGTGAGGAAAGTGGCTGCATCCTCTGCCTTGAACATTTTTTTCATCAGACACCCACAGGGCTCACTCTTTTGTTACATTCATGTCCGTGCGGAAGCATCACATCAGGGGGACCTACCCTGCTGTCAGACCAGCCCCCCGTCACTCCTTAGTTCCTTACCTTCTTTTCTTCGTACACTTACCAGCCCGAGAAGCTGTACGTTTTTGTCAGTATGTATCCTCCCCTGGAATGGACGCTGCATGAGAAAGGAGCTTTAGTGGGGTTGTTCACTGCTAGTGTTCTGTGCGTGGCAGGTGGCGGGTGGTCAGTTTTTGTTGGAAGAATGTGGGCCCAGCCAGCTCGCTCTTCTCCTCTCTCTACCCTGCACCCCTGCTTCAGACGGGCCTTCTGCCAGCTCACCGCTCCTCAGCCATGTCTCCCGAAACCCTGCTCCTCTTTCGGGATGCATCTCCTATACCACCTGTTCTGTAAAAGTATCCTTTCAAGTAGTTGCTCCTGGTCCTTAGCTCCCATAACCCTTTTCGAAGCTGCAGGGAAAGAGTGTTCTCCTGGCCTGCCCAGGACGTGATAGGTAAATATTTGTCAAGTAAAGATTTGTGTTAACAAGTGGTTGATGCATAGGGAATTACTCAATGAGGTAGACATGCATTATGAGTAAAAGCTGAAATTCAGTGGATTAATGGGAGAAATGTAGTAATTAGGTGCAACTTGAATTTAATTATAAATGCAGTATGATTAAGGGAAAATAGCTAGAGAAACAGTCATCATTTAATTATACAGTTACCCAAAGAGTCTGGAGATAGTATTATGGACTGATTTTGTATATATGCCATTTTACCAATTTATTAATCTTTTTTTTTTTTTTTTGTAGAGATAGCATGAATTACAATAGAAACAATATAGGCAAGTTCTGAAGGAATTACTTGTTAGGGACATTGTAAAAAACATTAAAATTCCATATTTACTTTTTATCTTCTTGCATAAAGTGTTATTGTTCCACATATAACATTGAAAACATTAGAAATGTTTTGATTGCATCAAATTAGTAGCACTAGACTCAAAACAATTCTTGCTTCTTAAGGATACTATCATTTGAATTGTTAAAAATGTCTTTGTTTTCGCAATAAAACTGGGGAAAAGTCTTTGTTATAAGAACACTCTACATAATTATTTTTCTGTCAAATGGAAAGGTGCAGAGACATGAACTAATGATTACTTTGTTTGGTTTTTGAATAACTTCTCTATTTATATTTCAGCATGAGTGTCTGATGATCTGTAAATTCACTTTACATTTCTGCTATGAGTTTCTGGCCAAGGCCTTTGTGTGAAGTAGTCCAACTTCTCATTTGTAAACTCAAGTTCCACTCCTAACCATACGTGCCTTTTCTTGCAGATGAAAATCAGACTAAATGTTGGGGTTTCATTGAATTTTCTAACTGCGGCACAAACTACGGATGCTAATAAAGTAGAATTATAAAAGCAAAATTTGCCAATAATCACAGTTAATCTCTAATATTTGTCATTCAACAAATATAAATAGCGAAAGTCAAAGGTTTTTTTGTTTTACTGTTGGAGGACCCCATTCGATGGTGTTAGGACTATCTGGAGGTGCCAGAGGGCTTTGAGAAGTTGTCACTGACAGGATGAAATTGTTCAGGATAAGAAGCTGGGGTGACAAATGTACGTTTTTTATTTCGGATTGCTCTTATTTATCTACAACATAAATTATGCCAAGATGCCTCTGGAAGGTTGAAAAGGAAGATGATTTTCACACAATTTATTACAGATTTCTCTTTTTTTCTTTCCATAGCAAATGGTTGGGTTTAAAGAGGAAAAAATCCTAGTAGATTTGTTAATTGGGAATCACTGTACCACAAATGTAAGAATTATATGACGTTTGAAGTATATAAGATGCACTTAGTGTTTTCTTATCACGGGTTCATAAGCTTTTAATAAAAACGTTATGAAGAATTTTACCCATTCCCTTGTTTTGTGTAAGATATAAAAGGCGTATTTTGAAAAGATTTATGTAAACTGAAAGATTTCAGATGTTTATGTTATGAGAGAGATATTTGAGGAGATGCTCCAAGCAGTAGACATTTTTGCTTTATATATTTTTGAGTATTTCACGGCATCTTGTTTGTTTTTTCCAGCATCAAGCCCATCCCAGCTGAAGGAATCAAGTCAAATCCTTCCAAGCGACACAGAGACCGACTCAATACAGAGCTGGACCGCTTGGCGAACCTGCTGCCTTTCCCACAAGATGTTATTAATAAGCTGGACAAACTCTCCGTCCTGAGGCTCAGCGTCAGTTACCTGAGAGCCAAGAGCTTCTTTGATGGTGAGGCAGAAGGGTTTAATTCTTCTGTAATCACTGATAAAATGCTTATGTTGAATTTAGCTGTTTCTGCTTCTGTGTTGAAAACTGCAAAAATTAGCCATATGTGAAAAAGTTTTGTTTATTGCTGGATAGTAAAACTTAAGTAGCAAAGCCAGATATCTGATACTCCCAAAAGTCACTTTTCCAGATTTTTTCATCAAACAGATGCTGCCACTGAGTGATAATGTGGTGTCATTCTTTGAAAATTACAGATTTGGAACGTGTGCTCATATGCAGTACGTCAATTTCCAGTTCCACTTCTCTTTCCAATTTACTTTTTAAAAATCTCCTTTTTTTTAAATGGAAAGAATAAAACATTAACTACTATGGGTTTCCTTCAGTATATTTTTATAGGTAATGTCATTTCATTTATCCTTTTAAAGTTATATATACTTCTGCTTTATAATTACTGTATGTTCATCTAGGAAAATGTAATTAAAATTTTTCAACTGAAAAGGGCATTTCATTCATTATAGGAGTCCATGGAATTGGACTGCAGTCTCCACTGTACTACTACAAACTATCTGACTAACTAAACCAGTTGGCATCCCTGTACCTCAGTTTACCCAGCTGTGCAGTTAGGGATTTGAGCTGGGTGATATTTGTTACCTTTTAATCATACAGTATTTCCTATTCATGAAGCATTTTTAATGGAAGTTTTTGTTTGAAAATGGCTCTGTGTGTCTTATTTAAAACCATTTCTTGATTTCTTTTTATCTGTTTATTATGTCAAATAGTTTTTTTTTTTTTTTTCAGGAAATATACAGTCTTTTTAAGTATGTTATTTTACCAGCAGTAGTAAAGAAATGATGATAATGTCTCAGTGGCCTGTGTCAGTGCTTCTCACACTTCAGATCACATGGGGGCGTGTTAAGGTGAAGGTTTTTATGCAGTAGGTTTAGGTGTGGCCAGAGATTTTGCATTTCTAACATGCTGCTCATGCTGTTGCCCTAGACACATTTAGAGATACTTGAATCTGGAATTTGTGTTTAGAATATTGGGAAACACTTATTTCCCTTTAGGTTTATATTTAGTTGGTTTGATGTGTTTAGTCTGAGCATCTTTTTATTTTTTGTGTGCTTGCTATATGTTCTTTATTTTGGATAAAAACTATATGGTTTAATAGTTGTGATCTGGGCAATAAACACTGGTTTGAGGGTAATAATTTACTAATTTCAGGGTTCATAGGAGACACTTAAATTTTCTCTGATCCAATGAAAGGTCTTTGACTTTTCAGTTTCCCATCTATATCAGATGCTTCATCTTCTAGCTGAGTTATGTGACATTCATCAGGGTGTGGGTGTGTGTGTGTTTGAGTGTTTATCAGCTACATAGCCATTTTATGATAGCACTGGAACTGGAACCCAGGTTTCTAGATTCCCTATATTGTTTTTCTGACCATGTCTCAATTACTTCTCTTTTCTGGGAACCATTTACATAGCAAAAACCTGAGAATTTTCCCCTAGGTCCATAGCACTCAAAGTATAGTCTGCAGACAAGCAGCATTAGCGTCACCTGGAAACAAATGCCAGCTCTGGGGTCCATCCCAGATCCAGGGCATCACAAACTCTGGCGTTAGGGCTAGACCAGCATGTTAAAATTCAGGAACCCCTGTGCTTGACTGCAACCCGAGGCCACACCCAGCCTCATGGAATGCTGTCCTGATCCGCAGCATTTATTCACTTGCTGTGCTTGCTGCTTGACCCTGCTTGGAGTCCCATGAGATGTAAGATGTGGTCTCTGCCCTTGGCGTTAGAGTTAACAGCTAGAAGCCATGGAGGCATTAGTCCTTGACTCTGGTAAAGATGTGCATATTCGTGTGAGTCATTTTGCCTTTGCACTTCCTGCCGCTCTAAAACAAACTGTATTAAAAAGAGAATAAAAAAATGTATAGTTTTTCCCTGTTTAGAAGTAGTGGAGCAGAACTGAAGCTGCTTAGTGAGTGTAGCCATTGTGCCATTTAATACTAATATAATTACTGCTGCTCTCTAGGCTGTGGGTGTATACGTACACATATACATACATATGCACATTAATTATATTCATATTTAGTATAAACATTTATATACATTTTTTTAATGATTAGACCTGTGTGTCCTGTTCAGCACCTCAAGTAAAGGAGTTCCAAAGAATGTTGTAGTTTAGCTGGCTCATTATGGAGTTCTTAGTTGTTACAAAGTATTTTCTTACCTCTTCCTTAATGAGTTTGTTTATTTTTTATTCTGGTCTGGTGTTTGACAGTAGGCTCTTACTCCCCTATTTGCATCATCCTTTATCATTTGTATTATCTTGAATTTTAGGTCCTTTGCAATACTGGTTTTTGAACTTCAGTGTGTTTCAGAATAACCTGAAGAACTTGATACAAATGCGTATTCCGAGGCATGCGCCTTTATGCAGATTCTGCGTGGGTTCTGGGTAGGACCCAGGAATCTGTAGTTTTAATAAAAATCCTAGGTGAGTCTGAGGCAGTGATTTAATCTGGGCTTGATTATACCCTGAATTACTTTTCCCCAAAACATTGTTTACTTTGCCTTCAGAAAGACAAATCCAAATGTACAAAATTTTAGGAAGACTGTAAATGTGTTTGCTTGGATCTCAGTGAGGTACGTTCTCCAAGTAGTTTCTTGGGTTGGGCAAATACAAGAACAAAGTTAGATGGGAAGGTGGGGAAATACACAGTGGAAAGGGCCCCTAAAGTCTTACCCAGGCCATCATTGGTCTAGAACAGCAATGCAATCTTTTGAGAACACAGAGTAAAAATTTTAAGGTAATCTTTATGACCTGAAGACATACTGAATGCAAACTGTGGACAGTAATTAGGATTTTCGTGTGCTAAAACCACTATTAGGGAAACAGTATAGTGGAGTTAAGGGAAGCGCTAAGTGAATAACAGGATGCAAACAGGGGGTGTGTGAATTCCTGCGGAAAGAACAATATAAACGAGTAATCATACAATCTTGTTAGAAAGGAAACTCAAGTTTTACTGTAACAATAGATATTTTTCCAAGAAAATACATCTATTTATTGCAAGTTTAAATAATCCAACTTGAATGGATCTTCTTAAACTTTGGAGCCATGACTATCCTGCTTAAGCAACACTTTAAAGTTTTTAAGTACAACACTAATATTTATACATATTTAATTAAAACATTCTAAGATATAACTTTGATGTTCTTGAACAGGAGAAGTGCTTGACCAAGACAACCATTTTTCAGTTATGTAAAGCTTCGAAGGAGTTTCTTTGACACTATTAAATTAAAATTATCTTATAATAAATTTTGTAATTTGAGATTGTGTTTTATTCTAAACACTCTGCAGGTTGTGAATTCATAAAGAAGAAACATTTCTGTCCTCTAATAGCTCAAGGCCTGGTGTCTCAGAAACTGACATATAGCATATGAAATCCTTTAAAAATGCACATTAAATATTTGTAATGCAACATTTAAGGAGCATTTTCAAGGGAGGTAAAATGCTCCTTAAATGCCACTTAATGAATGTTAGTTATTATTAGTTTGAGTTTCAACTAAAGACATAATTGAAGGGGGCTTGGAATATTTAATCCTTGGAAACTCTTGAATTATATATTCTAGACTGTAAAGCTCAGAGAATTGTTTTTCAGTTCATACTCTGTTTATGCTACAGATGAAATGATTGTTATGAAAGATTTTATAATATAGTGCTTTATTTTAGGGGGTGCACTTAAATATGCCATATATTGTCTATTTCTTGCACTAGAATGGAAGTTCCTTGAGAGTATCTTCAACACTTGAAGCAAGGCCTGCCCCATAGTAGGCATTCAGTAAATATGTACTGACTTATATCTGAAAGACAAGGTAAAATGCATAATGAATATTCTAGATGATGTGTTTAGAAATATATTTCTGGGGCTTGTTTAAGATACACATTTTGTATTATTTCCAGCTAATCTTTCTGTTAATAGCCAATTTGTCATTATTGGGTGTATCGATTATTTTATTCTCTCCCTATAAATGTGCAGATGCAAGAAGAAATTTGTTTATTGAATTGTTGCGGTCAGAAATTTTGTACACGGTCTCTGATTGGCTGGGTCAGACAGTGAAGCCCGTAGGAGTATTAGAGGGCTCCAGTGTCCGGGCTCTGGACGTCTTTTCTGAACCGACCAGTGTCACTTACATCCTTTCTCGGTGCTGCAGGCTGCCCTCTGTGCTCTGCAGCCAGACTCGTTGCTCCTTTGCCATCGCTTTATATTTGTCATCTTGTTCCTGGGCCACTGCACCTTTTCTTCTTCGCTGGATGTTCCTTTTGTACTTCCCAGCAGCCTGCCAATCTTGCTACATTTTTAATTTTTGTCAGCATCTGCGGGATGTACAAATAAGGACTCTGGATTAAAAGACACAAAACACCCCTTTGGAAATTTGAGAGGAAAAAAATTCCAGAAAAAGGTGATAGTTTATTTATCACTTCTGCACGGTGGACCCACTTGGACACGTTTTAGGATCAATAATATATTAATAACAGAAGTAAGAGATTTAAAATAGCACAAGCGGCCGAAGTTCTATTCCGTTTTCCTCAGTAGCACTGCTCGTTCATGTTACCTTCCCTTCTTTACTGCTTTTTAAAATTTTTTTAAAGACTTCTGTAAATGATTGTATCTCAAGTATTTCTGGAGAGCCTTTTCTGTTTTTAGCAAATAACAGAAATCCAAAGTTGCTGTTCTCTAATGTTGACAATTATACGTGGTCAAGTGCGGAGCTTCACCTCTCAAGATAGATTAAATCAAACGAGGGGGGAGCCCGCAGACAGCTAAGTGGGCAGGTGGAGTTGTGACCCGACGACGAGTGTGTGCACTGACGTGTGTGCACTGATGAGTGTGTGCACTGATGAGTGTGTACTCTGACGTGCTGGAGATAGAAAGGGGAGAAGGTCCTAAATCCTTAACCTTTTTACCAGATTTCAGAAGGTTAAGATGATACTATCCTTTT